TGTATGGACCCCACTTCGGGAAATGTTTGCACAGAGGGCTCTTGTTGATTTGCTGGCCCGCCTTCACTTAGGGCGGGCACGAGGCTTGCTGGGGCCTTAGCCCAGAACATGTACATCATGGCAAGGCCCCTACTTGAGGGCTCAATCCTCACATTCCATCCCCCTTAGCTTCGAAAGTACGCTGAGATGCTTACTTCACAGGTGCCTTCCCTTTCAGTAGCCTCTCATATTCTGCCACTACCTGAGGAGCTGTCTCAATCAGTTCCTCCCTGGTAAACCACCGATCTTCTTTTGGATCCATATGATGCCTGAATCTGATGCGGTACTCTCTCTTGGGTCTAGGAGGTCTTCCTCGACCCAGCGGCTTCGGAACAGGCATATCCCTGTGATCCACAATGTCGTCGATGTCGACTTGACCATCCATGGTTGGGGGCAGCATCGATCTCCTGGAAGGGAATTGATCTGTCTCAGCGAAAGGTGCAAGCTTTGAGGCATGAAAGACAAGGTGAGTGCATAGGTGTCCAGGGACACGAATGACATATGTGGGACCATCCATCGCATCTCGCACTATATCCAGGACTTCCCAGGGACCAAAGTACTGAGGCATTAGTTTGCGAGAGATTTCGAACTCCTGTCCTAACTCACTAGCCTTGACCCAGACTCGTTCCCCTACCTGAAATGTGGACTGTCTACGATGTTGATTCTCAGAAGCAATCATTGCTTGCTGAACTTTCTCCATATGCTCGACAACCTCTTGCAACAACTTATCATACTGCACACCATACTCTAGTGTGCCTGGAGTTGCAGCGGGTCGGTTTTCGGGTAGGAGGAAGTCTAGTGCTGATCTAGGCTTCCATCCCAAGTGCAGCTGATTAGGACTAACGCCGGTACTGCTATGGATAGCATTGTTGTACAGGCTGGCGATGAGAGGCAACTGCTCATCCCAATCATCTTGGCTGGGCTTGATGTAATGCCTCAGCAAGTGATGTACAACTCTGTTCATTTGTTCGGCTTGTCCGTTGGCTTCGGGATGATTCCCTGAAGTCATTTGAAGTTGACTGCCCATCTGTTTTGCAGTCTTCTTCCACAGCTCACTTGTGAATCAGACATCTCGGTCACTAACGATTGACTTTGGTAAACCAAAGTCACGCACCCAGTTGTCTTTGAACAACGTGATGACGTAGTCAGTTCTTGCGGTTTCTGGCATAGCCACTAGTCTAGCGTACTTGGTGAATTGGTCGATGATGACGAAGCTGTGCCTCTTGCCACTCTTACTAGTCACCAGGGTGTCCATGAAATTCATGGAGACACTCTGTCCTGGACCAGCAGGGATAGGCAAAGGCTTCAACAACCCAAGCGGTGCTTGAGTTCGCGGCTTGTCCCGCTGACAGAGCTGACAGGTCTCTACGTACTTCTTCGCGTCATCCAACATACCAGGCCACCAAAATCGTTGAAGTGCCCGGTTGTGTCATGACATTCGCCTAAAAATAAACTACGCAAACGTTCACTAGATGGAACTACTAACCTTTTTATTCCTGCCTTATAAAGATAGAGTAACCCGTCCACCATCACAAACTCACTTTCTGTGGCCTTGTCTTTTGCCTGAAGTTTGCGCATGATGTCCATCGTGACAGGGTCTTCGTGATAGGCTCCCACCAATGATTGAGTTACTTCGTCAGATACGCCAAAGTTAGAAACTAGCGCACCTAGGTAGTCTGCTCTACGGGATAGCGCATCCGCAACCTTGTTGTACTCTCCCATTAAGTACTCAAGCTTGAAGTCATATTGGTCTATGACCTCAATCCATCGCTTGAGTGCGTCAGAAAGATCCGGTTGAGTCTTGATCCATTTGAGGGTCTGATGATCAGTCCTCAAGTAGAAGAACCTTCCCTATAGGAAGTGTCTCCAATGGACAAGTGCTTTATACAGAGCATAGAGTTCCCTTTCGTAGGTGAATTTTGCCAACTTCTTTGATGGCATCTTCTTACTCATGTACTCAATCGGTCTCAACTTTTTCCCATCGTGCTGAGCCAGCACTGCGCCAATGTCGTATTGGCTTGCGTCAATGGTCACTATGAATGGCTTCTGAGGATCGGGAACCATGAGGACCTCATGATTCATGAGTGCATGCTTCAATCTCTTGAAAGCACCCTCGCACTCATCACTCCAGTCCCACGGTGTGTCAAGTCGAGTTAGATCAGTCAAAGGAGAGGCGACTGTAGAATAGTTCTTTACGAAGTTTCTATAGTAGCCGCACATTCCTAAGAATGATCTGACCTCAGTGACTGTCCGAGGTCGTGGCCAGTCTCGAATACTAGCCACCTTCGCATCTTCCGGCCTTATCCACTCCGCGGATACTTCATGACCTAAGTATAGTATCTTAGTGCGGCCAAACTCGCACTTCTCTAAGTTGACCTGATACTTGTGCTGTCGCAGGAGTGAGAGTACCTTCTCAACATGTTGTGCGTGCTCGTCGGTAGACTTACTAAAGATCATAATGTCGTCTAAGTAGACCACGACAAACTTATCTAAATGGTCATGGAAGATCCGATTCATAGTGTGTTGGAATGTTCCTGGCGCATTACAAAGACCAAAAGGCATCACTACAAACTCATACAGACCATAACGAGTCTGAAAAGTTGTCTTGTGTTAGTCCTCTGGCCTTATAGCGATCTAATGATAGCCGGATTTCAAGTCTATCTTGCTATAGTACTTGCATCCCTGCACCCTATCCAATAGGTCGTCCATGCGAGGTAGAGGCTCTGCGTTTTTCACTGTGATGGCATTGAGGCCTCTATAATCAATGCACATCCTCAAAGTACCCCCCTTCTTCGGTACGAATAGAACGGGTGATCCGTAAGGGGAAGTACTAGGCCGGATCCATCCCTTCTCTGTTAGCTCCTTAAGCTGTCGCCGAAGTTCATCTAACTCGGCGGGGGCCATCCTATAGATCCTTCCCTTTGGGGTCTTACTCCCTGGAATGATTTCTATAGCGTGGACGGCTTCCCTTTCAACAACTCTTGTGGGCTCCTCGAACAGATCAGGGAACTTAGCAACGACGTGTTCTATCTCTGGGGGTGTTTTAACGGCCTCCCCTTTTTCAGAGACATACACAAGGTGCATACCCTCCTCTTCATTTTGCTTGTAATAATTGTAGAACGCTGATGCGCACAAGCAGCCATAGATATTTATAATGCTATTAGCCTTGAACTTAGTCAATCTGACAGTTCGGCCATCGGGCAACTTATGCTTAAGCACCTTCTTATCCCAGTCAAATTGTGGCTTAGCAACTTCGAGGTAGTACATGCCTAATAACATGTTGAATGGTAAGTCGTCGCTAACCAAGAACGAGATCTTATGGTTAAGTTCGCCTCCTCCATAGGAGAAGGTACAGACTACGTCCTTGATGTAGTCTGTTACGATCATGCGCTCCTTGTTGGCCAAAGTAGATGC